CCCCAAAACCCCAAAACCCCAAAACCCCAAAACCCCAAGCATCATTGTTGTGGTTGAAAATCTATTAATCGAGTTATTTTTAATTTATTTCGTGCAAATGTCATAACAATCCAAAAAGCAAAATTCTTGAAAATTTTGGAGTAAATTTGATTTTTTTGGCTTTACGAATTTTATGTTTACAATTTAAATTATTTTATTGTAAGGATTTAGCAATTTTTAAGATTCATGTACAATTTTGATTAATGAGGAGTATACTTCCTTTAATATTTCTCAAGAAGGTAGAGTAATTGCTTAGTTAGGATACTATTAATTTATCATAAAAACTATTCCTTTCTTTTTCAGATCCTTTGATTAACCTAAAGATTCATTTTAGTTTTCTTGTCAATATTTTTTCTTTATACTTCGGCGGCTTTTCTTCAAGCTCGGTTTGAATAAATTTTCAAACAGAGATCGTGTGCTTGTTAAACTTGTCTAAAAGGCATATATATTTTTGCCATAACGTGCTGAAGACTTTTTCATTCCTCGATACTTTGCACAAGAGCTTCCTTTGAGCTTTTATTCTCATTCTCAAATACATAATGGGAAGTTTCGATATATATTTGTGTTGTTGATTTGGCTAAATGTAAATTAATAATTTTACAGAGTAAAAAGCAGAATAAATTTTGCTTGTTTGGTTGCCCAAAAATTTCAGGGGTGTTATCATACCCATAGTGGTCTATTCCGAATGGTTCAACCACCATTGATTCTCTCCAGTCTACAACAATTCTGATTTGAGTTCATTGATTTAATTTCTTTATATATATTGGCATAAATTTGTGGCTTGGTATTCATCTTGTATTGATAATTCTCAATTCCAAATTATCTTCATTATTTTAGGTTTTAAGAACTCCAATTTTTCAAATATGCTCTCTGATTCTATATCTCCCAAATTCAGAGATATTTTCTTGACTAAATGAGGATATTCTATTACAAAAATGGTCTCTTTTGATTCCCTAAAAATGGTAAGCTTTGAATACCTGAATAGTTTTGGAGGGATTCTTTTCAGTATCTCATCTTTACTGTAATGGATCATATCTATATTCTCAGGAAAATACCTACCGACATCTCTGATGTCAAAATGAGGGAGACTACTCAACACCATTTTTCCATCCATAATTTCGACAATTTCTGACAATAAATTTGAAAAAGATAATTTTGCTTTCTTGATACGGAGGGAGATAAACTCATCCTTTCGATGACTAGAAGACCTATTTGTACATGTGTAGCAGTATTTCTTCAAACGTCACTGGAATACTTGCAAAATTATTATTTGGGTTAAGTCCTTGGATTTTTGATATTTTTATAGGTTGTTCTATATTTTTATAAAGTCATTATACTTCAGAGATACTCCATTAAGTCGATTGTTAGCAGATCTGTATTCCAGTGCAATAGTTTTATTGAAAATAGGCTAAGTAAATCTTTTCAGAGAATTGAAATTTGAGATTTTAAGTCTTCTATTTCAGATTTTTCTAAACTTCATTTCTCCATCATGCTTGTAAGGAGGTCTTCTTCGTTATCTTCTTCATTAAAAGAGACATTGGCATTACTAAAGTCATGGCAGCGGCTTAAAATAAACCTATTAACTTACCTAATTGTTATGTATTTAACACTTCTTTGAACAGATGGACTAAAATTATCGCTTGAGTTCATAACAAAGTTTGGGATCCCATAAAAATGGAGGATGTCAGTCATTAATTTCTTGTCATTTAGTCTTTTATTCTTAATCTTTGCATCAGAAATGCATGTGAGCATCCTGTACTTGTTTCCTTTGTAAGAGGAATGAATATTCGGAAGTTTTGCTGATCCATTCATTCTTCCATTTACTTCAAGAGTGTCTAAATTTAACTCTTGAGGATACCAAATTCTTGTTGGAGTCTTAAATAAAACTCTTGGTTTGAGATCTCCACAAAACCATTTATTTCAAGTCTTGTGAATTCAACAGGAAAATATTTTTCTCTAAAATTTTCTATATTGAGAGGCAGGACTTACGATTTTCAGTTTGTAGATCGTCAGAAATTTCAAAAAGATTTTCAAGAAAACTGAGAGTTTTACAAGAACCAACAGTAATATCAAGCTTGAAGAATTCATAAAATCTGAAATATCTCACAGAGTTGTTTCTCAAGAAGATTCAGCTTCTATTAGTAGTTAGGAATTCTAAAAATTTCCCATCTAAAGGAACATTATAATTGAGATAATGACTAAACCTATCTAATTTGGAAGAAACTTACCGTATTCATGCTCAAGCATTACAATTTCAACTTCCTTCTGTGCTCATTAAAGTAAGCTTTGAATGCATTAAAGTATATGCACAAAACTTTGTGGGACTTATTTATTCAGTTTTAGCATCAAGCTCATGCACTCTAAATACATTGTAAGCTTATCAACTCAATATTAATTGTTTCGAGCGAAAGTTTCAAGGCTTACCTAAGAAATTACCGTAGTAGGAAATGATATTTCATCAATTACTGAAGCTAGTGAGCAATGTCTCTGGTCTAAAGGATTCCATTTTAGATTTATTTATTCCGCGCAATTTTTATTATGTACCCGGGGTTTTGGGGTTTTGGGGTTTTGGGGTTTTGGGG